TCAGGTACAGAGGACACTAGGCCATAAACCATCTGAGGCCCGCAAAAACACGTGCATGTGTGCCTTATTTTCATTCTGTGATCCAATGACTACGGAAAAGGCCTTGCCAAGCCAGAGATTGACAACCACTATCGCAAGATTTCCCCCGGCACTTTTCCATCTAGCGATCAAGCTGTTTCGATGTAAAGGTCACTGTAAATTGTATTTAGCGACCACTACATGTATCTACATGTATGTCCTTTCCGCTCACGTTCACTACCTATATCCAAACTCAATACATTTTACCTCCAAAAACCAAGGACTCAATTTCAAATTCCATTTTCATCAAAATTACAGTTTAAACCAAATAAAGTTCGATCAACAGTATGTCCCCCAAAAGTGACCGTCTAAAATAGTGAAATAACAACAAAACTACGAAGTAAATTTGGCCAACAAAAAAAAGTGTGTAGATACTCCTAAAGTACAGCAGATAGGTGATGGGATTGTGCCTTTGATGATACAAGCATGGCATTAGGCACACAGTCAGAGTATGTCTTGAGAAAGATATTTGGCTATAGGGCCATCGCATATTTGTCCTTTGAAAACATATAGGCAGAATAACAAGCAATTGCAGCCATTTTGAAAAATTTGAAAATTGCTTGCTATTCTACCTACATTTTTTTCAAGGGATAAATCTGCGATGGCCCTATAGCCAAATACGTTTCTTAAGACACACTCTGACTGTGTGCCAAATGCCATGCTTGCATCATGAAGGGCACAATTCCCCCAAAAATATTTCCCCGATCTGCCGCATTGTTATTTTATATCTTTCTGGTAATGAAACCAAGGATTCCTCAAAAGTACCCTAAGCACTGTAGCTCGAAAGCTTGACGAAACCTGTAGAGAGAAGACAATGTTTTAGAGTTGGGAGGAAAAGCCCAGAGGAATATTCTGAGGAAAACCCACGGAATCAGGTATAGGGACTGAAAACCCAATCCACGTATTGGCCCAGGCGGGGTCGAACCCGGGTCACAGCGGTGGAAGGCGAGGAAAGTACCGCTACGCCAACCTGACTCCTCCGATTGAGAGTTATGAGTGTTACGAGTGTTTTTATTTTCCTCACGCTATACTGCACAACGGTCATGTAGCGCCAGCTCTTCGGTCATGCTCAAGTTGCAACCCTGTTGGTGGATATATAGTGCTACTGCTGGTGTTTCACAAGGGTTGCAGATCACATGTAGGTCAGGGGTCGATGATTAAGGAATTAAAAGGGTCTGTAAAGCAGCCTTTGATTTTATCAGAAACGACTTAGTCCAGGTGTTTTATCCTCGCATTTATTCAAAGTAATTATTCGCATTTGATTCCATGAAATGATTTGCACTGGCTTTGTGAAATAATCCGCAGTGGATACGTGAATCTGTGATTAAAAAAAGGTAAAAAGATCTTATAAGTTCACAAAGTAATATTGTGACGATATATACATAAATCATCACTTTGACTAAAATCGTGGCTAAACCATGATCATACTAAATTTTGAGATCTATGCCGTGCCAAAAGAATCACAGAATTCTCTGTAAAAAGAATCAAATATTATGGTTACTACTCCTTTCTCAACAAAATGAGAGTCCCTAAATTACCTCCTTGCATCGTTTCCTTCTTCTGAGAGTTCGTGGAGTCTGTTAACCTCTAGCGATTATCAGCAAAACAATGTCTGAAGATGGCTGCCATAAAGGCTGTACCGGTATTTGTGCTCGTTCGTGTGTTCGTGGCTCAGTTGCTTTCTCCATATATGTCGTCATGCAGAGGGCGCTTTACACAAAAAGAATGCGAACACGTGAGTACAGTTACTGGTCAATAGACCACAACAACATTTCTGGACACTATGACCAAGTTCCATGCTTTGATCAATTTCGGTGCTTTGTTATGTAAGTTGTGTACAATCATGTTGTGAAAAGGAGCTGCTGATGGGATTGAGCATTAAGGTCTGCGTTCTTGCCTGATAGCCAGGGCAAATGACTCTCCCCAAATGTTGAAATACGGATTGTATGTAAGTTGCATTTAAATTTTCGTTGACCCTAAGAATAATGATTATGTTTGGTTCATGTGTCAAAGATGCCAATCTCTAGATCTGTGAATATCTTATATTTGATTATGCACGTGCTAGTTATTTAACTTCATGCAGTGAAATTTGCTACTGATCCAGAACATTTTTTTAGTGAAATTCTGAGTACAATGTAGATGATACGCTTATTTGCATCAGTTCAGGAGTCAATTGATTTTCCATGATTTATCTGTTCAACCAGTGTTTAGTTGACCAGGTGCTAAGAACAAGTTCGCGCAAGAACTATTGTTAACCATAGTTCGACTAAGTTAGCCCGAACTCGTCTAGTCGACGATGGTTGGACTACGGTATAGTCGACTATTTGGAACCAGACGACGGGGCGCGGTTCCGTCGCTGGTTACCAGTAGCCGCGCGCATCATAAAGCGGAGAGCCAGGACCAAGACTATAGTTGACCAATGGTTAACCATAGTTCGACTAACGCTTGCCCGAACTCTGTCTAGTCGACGGTGGTTGACTACGCTAGTCGACTATTTGGAACCAACCTACTGGGGCTGGTTGCATCGCTGGTAACCAATAGCCGCGCGCATTCATAACGGTAGCAGAGAGCCAGGATCCAGAAGTTTTGCGATGACATTTTGACCAGCGCAGGGTGACCGTTTTAGCCGATTTTCGGCTAACTTTGACAGAATTTTTGTTAAACAACGAGTTTGACAGAAAATTTGACGGAATGGATTTTTTGGCAGATTTCTGGCAGAATTCTGCAAACATGGATATTTGACAGAAAAACGTAGCAAATTTGAAGAAAAATGGTACATTTATTTGAAAAAGCTTCAATCTTTTCAAACAAACCCTTGCATAATGGGACATGTTAGCTGGTCTGGGTGCTGAGGTTCACTGGGAACCTGACTTTGTCGTGACGCGACTTCGTTTAGCCTGAAATGCACACAATTTCATAACATCTTTATGTTACTATAGATTGTTTATAAAGTAAATCGAACCTTAATTAAGGCAATACTACATCATCCACATGTGATTTTAAGTGTTTATGACGTATTTCGAGTAATTCTGGGGAATTTAGCAGATTTGTGATGAATCTGACAGATTTTTGAATTGCATTTAGCAGAAATTGGCCATGACCTGACGGTCACCCTGGACCAGCGTTTGACAAGAGACGTTCGCACGTTGCTATCAGTGCGCAAGCGTAAGGTACGTCACAAATCAACCACTAGTCGACTAATGGTCCTTGCCCGAACTTGGCCTCAGTAGATGACGGTATGACCATTGTTTGACAGACGTTCACATGTTGCTATTAGTGCGCAGGCGTAAGTTACGTCACAAATCAACCACTAGTCGACTAATGGTCCTTGCCCGTACTTGCATAAGATTTCCATGTTTGTTATGAAGTCACTGTTTTGCAGACTTTGCATGGTTCACTAAAAGTTAAAGGAGTATCGTAGTTGAGTGCAATTTTAGTAAATGATCGTAATTAGTATGCTCATTTAAGGGGCCAGGATGTTGCGGATAAAAAAGTTTTCAAGTTAGCAGAGAGGCGTCCCATAGGCGTAGAATTAATTCAGTCTCAAGAGGGCGCTCCAAGCGCGCCATACTGTCACGATTGTTTCCGGCGCCAGTAAAATTCGCTAAGAAGTTCCATTGATTTTGCACCATATTTTGATACGCCCATTGCTGTAAGAACCTTTGGTCATTTCGAAATTTAGACGAAGAGTCAAAGTTTATGGTGTATAAAGGGGGGAGGTGGTAGGGTCCTCTTTTGAGCATAAACTTGAAATGACTGCCGGTACATACTTAATACATGTTCAATGACTGCATGTTACTTGATTGTACAACAAATCCCACGTTAGGTTTAGATCATTTGATATAGATTATGGTCATAAAGGTTAAACGTAGAAGACTTTTGTTATGATTTTTCAATATAAACATTGATGCTCCAAGGGTATAACTTAAGTGGATATGAGTTAAGACAGACAAGGAAATAATTGACAAGGAAATAATTCACAATAGACACATATTTGTGTTTGTGAGATCAAAATAGTCGATTTAATTATCAGTTCATATTATAATCGTTTGATGCGAATGCAGGTACATTTTGGTATAATTATTAGACACTTAGTGTATTTTTGGTTTTTGTTAATTGCAGAATGAACCACACTCGTGAGCACACAACACTTTTGAGTACTCTTGAACACCGTACATGTTGCTACTCAGTTGGTGCAATACAAGGGCAGAGATATCACGTCACAACTTTGTCATCATTGGACTTCTTTTTCATTTGAAGTCGTTCGTCACAAGAATCTTTAACGGGGTACGATACAGTCAGTGTTATTGAGGAACGTAATTAATAAGTGCTTCGTTTCAATCGTTTGTTATGTCCGCCAAAATGAAGACAAATAATTGGCTATTCTGAAACATCGAAGTCGGTCGACTGAACGATTTATGAGTTTTATCAACGCTTACACTCGTATTTTTTTAATTTATTGATGACTTTACTCACCGATGTTGCTGCGAAAGCAACGTGTTCCCAATAAGCCTCTGTACTGATGACGTCAGTGGACGGTGGGCCTCCACTGGCTCCACAGGAAAGTGCACATGTAAACAAAGTGTGGCGTCATCATTACAGAGGCTTATTAACTACCAATCATTTGTATAACTATAACAAACGCGGGACTTTTATAGCTTTAAATCATTTTAATACACATCTAGTTTTGTGAGTGCAGGTGCGGGGTATAAACCAATAGTCTGCGAGAGCATGGGTTACCTTTTGCATATGCAAAATAATAGTTGATACAGACACGACACATTTTGAAATGAAATATTGATCTTTGACTTTGAACGCATAAAAGACCACTGAACAGAACAAATCACCAGGAGTGATGCGCTCGCCCTCTACATACATTCATTAAATTGAAATGCTTGTTGTGTGACATTCAACATTTAAGGTTATTTTCGAAAAAGGACTGCGCAATCCTTACGAAATTGCCTATTAGCGAGTCCGTAGATAAGCGGGTTCACGGTGCTGTTGACTGCCGACAAGATTGCGGAACTAAACATCTTGGCGAGGACACCTTGGTCAACTGTCCCACCGTTCAGCACAAACAGATCCGTAGCGACATAGATCCAAAAGGGCAGCCAGGTCAACAAGAACACCACGCTGGTAATGAACAGCATGCGGGTCACCCTCCGCTGCATCAATTCCCTCATGGAAGGCTGGTTACCAGACGGAGGCTCCCTCCATCGGATGCGTTTTAGGACGCTTGTCTGTACGGCCCAGCTTTGCCCTCGGGCATCACTTACCGGTGAAGGCTTTAGGAAAGGCCTTCCATTTTGAGTCGACTCTTCAGTTGGTTGTCGACTCCGCGCTTTGGATGAGTTGCATTGTTCATAAGGCCTTAGGTATTTGGATGTTGACGTACGTGAGGTTGATGAAGTTGGGTGTTGAGGTTCCGATCTGCGCATCATTGATGTTGAAGCCGACGTTGATGGACCACATTCCGATCCACTATCAAGAGGTTCTACTCGCATCCGGCTTACTTTAGCCCTTCTCAGAAGTGTGGGAATGTTGTGGCTGATGGTAGGAATGGCTGGAGGTTCACTGCTCGTTCTCTCTAATCCAATGTGGACTTTACGTTGTCTCTTTATGGCCGCGTACACATTACCATAGCAAACGGTTGTCATGAGCAGAATCGTCAAATAGCCGGTAATGTAACAAACATAGGCGAATTTCTTCAGGTTGGGAGACAAGATGACGCCGCTCAGAATGCTAGGTGACTCCAGCACGACGGCGATCACAATCGACACCAATATGGCTATTTTGGCTCGCCGTTTGTTGAGGAACCGCTTGCTGAACCGACACACGCTATCGTAACGGTCTAAGGCGATGACGCCCGTCATTACGACCGACGTACCGAGCGCGATTCTGCAGGGAGCCACCAGAATCCGGACAACAAACGGAACTTCGACCCCGGCGATCGTATACGTGAACTCGACCACATTACGGATACGCAGCAGGCACACCGTCAGGTCTACGCCCGCCAGTCCCATGATGAGAACCTCAGTGCTCCTTTTGCGCGCTTTGCGCCAGTAAACCCGCAGGATCAAGGAGTTGCCGAAGAGACCGAAGAGGGTAATGAAGAAGTTGACGATTCCTCTCCAGATGGCCCCGTCTGTTCTGATTTCATCGATTCCAGACGAAGGGGGCAAAACGGTGACATCAGTGCTTGCCATTGTTAACGGTCGATGTTTGATGTTTTTCAGTTCTTGCTCCGATCATCTGATGGAGTTTTGCTAACGATTGGCCAATTCTGTTATTTTCTATCATCATGTTCCGAAGTTGTATCTTGTACCCGAACTTATCACAGATTCGTATGCACATATACCCACGCTTTTCTCTCTGACAAAACCCTTGAGTGCTCGCAAGCGAACCAAATAATGATATTTTGCTGCGGATCACGTGCTTGGAATGAATACTTTCATTGGTCGAGGAAGGGTGACGCGTCAGTTCATTCCAATCGATCGTAAAGACGAGGTCAGCATAGACGATCGTGATTGGATGTCACCCTTGACGTCATGCATAGAGGTCTCTTCCGTAGTTTCTTTCAGCTAACCCCCAGCATGATATTTCCGCACAAGATTACGCACAACACTTGAAGGCAAACATGAGTTACTTTTATGTCCAAAATAATCTAACGAATAAGTTATGATTCGGTCTAGTTTGCTGTCATGTAGGAGAAATCCAGAAAGGTGATTTCCCACGATCAATTATTGCCTGATTTTTGGAAATAAATAGTAATAGACGAAATCACGTTTCGTGATGTGCATGTTTTTAACTGTTTTCTCAAAAAAGTGTAATATCCATCGAGTTGAAACTTTAACAGGTTTGGTTTTGAACGTTCTCCTTTGGATTTTGAGTGGTGTAATTATTGAAAACAAACAAAATGCATGAAAAGAAAACGATGCTATACAGGGTGAGTAAAAAAAAAGAAACCCAAATGTTGGGACCATTGTTTAAAAGAAGTTCTGCATTTAGCATTTTCAAAATCTGGGATATGAAAGCCCAAATCATAAGCTTTCTTTTAGTACAAGAATTTTTTCAAAGCACCACCGTTTTAAGGTTCTGTCCACGGATCACAAAACAAGTTCAGTGTTCTTTCCACCAAACAAAACCAAATCACATAGGGATGTGTGTGATTTGTTTTCGTTTGGCTGAAAGAACGCACACCTTTTCTGTGATCCGTGGACATAACCTTTGAACGGTGGTTGTGCTTATAATTCCGTAACTTGAAAAGTACATGAGTGATTTGAATGATTCTTGTACTAAAAGATAGCTTATGAATTGGGCTTTCATATCCTAGATTTTGAAAATGCTACATGCAGAACCTTCTTAAAACAATGGTCCCAACATTTGAGTTTCGGGTTTTTTTTATCACCCTGTATATTCCTTTAATACAGTCAAACCATTGTCGAAATCTACCATTAAAGCTATAGTCCATCATTTGTAATTTGTGCATTTTGTTCGTTTGAAGCAACAAAAGAGTTCAAAATCTAATAAAGGATACTAAGCAACTAACCTGATAAAGTTTCAGCTAAGCTTCAGCTGTATATTCCGAGAAAAACAGCATTCTAAGATCTCAATTTCAAATCAAAAGTTACTGAATCATGTTTTGAATTGCAGCTTTACGCGACGTCGCGCACTGATCCGACGAATTATAACAACCGCGCGCGCGTGTGCGTCGTTCCAATACTTGCGCGCGCTGCGCTGAATAACAAAACGAACTACTAATTTAAATTTTCCTACGGTGCTTCTTAAGAATCACCGTTGGAAATGCCTTCTTTCGTTGATTACTTCAAAATGACAGCTTGCCAGAAAGAATAATTTCACAGGGAGTTTAGTTCCCTTACTATCTTTCAACTAAGTATGTTTTTCAACAATAATTACGCCAGTTACTTTTCGGATGGCTGCAAATGATGGACTATAGCTTTAACTGTGAGAGGTCACTGCATTCTGATGACTTTCTACCGCATACTATCATGCACCCGCCCAAGGACGTAAATCGATTCTCAAAAGTGTGTGGGGGAACATACCTTCAAGCATCCGATCAAGATCATCACTCAAACATCAGTTTCGAGTTTGGAATCATTGAATCAGCCATTCTGAGCTACACAGACATCATGCCACAAAAAAAAGTGAGGGGGGGGGGGTCCCGCATCGATTGACGCCCATGCACCCGCCTATGTGACATAGTAAGAGCACTGTATAGAGCACTAAAGATTATGAAGTATTAAATAATGAATGCGTATTTAATGTACAATATAATACTATTAACTTTCATCCTTTCCTTTGACGGGAAGGGAATCGACTTAAGTGTAAACTAAAAGGAAAAATAGACTGACATTCGAAACAAAATGTATAGAACATTTTGTTGACAATGCAAAATTAAGGTATTATTTTTTTTTCTTAATAGCGTACACAAAAATGATAAAGGACTTTGTGTTTCTTTCATTTTCTGTTATTATGCCCAACATCAATTATTGCAAATAATCCAGTGCACTCCTTTGAGCTGTGCGATGTATCAGTAAGTCAATTATTGACATGCTTGTAATGCCGGGGCGCGCATGGTTGTCGTCATTGAAGTTAATAACTGTTGGAGGGGTTCAAATATTTATATACCAGCCCAGGTTGGTTTGGAAAAGCCATAACGGTGAAGCGCTTTGTCCCCGCGGACACGCGCTCCGTCACTGCTCTTTAAGTGTAATTTATTATTATTCAGGGGTGTGAGTGACCACTGATAAAAATAGCTGAAAATAGCTGAAAACAGCTGGAAAAGGTGTACAAAAGCTGAACTTGTGGAAATCTCCTATACTTTTGTACACAGCAAGTGAGGGAAAAAAGCTGAAATCCAAAACAAAAAACAGCTGAAATCAGCTATAAAGCTGAGATGTCACACCCCTGATTATTACTATTATTATTACCATCGTTCTCAGGAGCTAATTTACATAAAGCTTTTGTTAAAATACATACAGGTACAATTATACAAAGTACAAATACCAAAGATTGTCACACAAAAAGAAGACACGTTTACATTGCGGTAGATGTGTGGACCTTTAAACAAGGATGTCCGCACAGTTCGGGAGCTTAAAACGTACTGTGGACTTGCACAGGTCCGCACACATACTGAAGATATTTTCAGACGACCTTTGACCTCAAATGTCTCAAGTCACCTGAAGTCCCCCTACCCAAAGATAATTGTCACCAAGTTTGGTTGAGATTGAAGTCTGACTTTTCTAAACAGTTAACCAAACCAAAATGGAACATGCATGGACACACACATAGGCCTACTGGAATTTGTATCCTTGTGGAGTCATTTCTTTGTTCTCGTGTACTTAAGTTTTCGAGTTTGAAAGTGTACATCAAAATGCTCCTATTTAGGTCTTAATAACCAGAGTTAATTTCCCGGGCTGAAATCCGGACTTCATTTTCCTTACGTAAAATACTTCAATTTGCGACGGAATCAACACAACTTTGCAATTACTAGTTTTTAAGTAAAATCCATATATCTATTTCGTGATAACCTTGTGGAGACGTATTCACCTATAGAAATTGACCTGTGCAGTCACATATGGTTGCAAAGACAAAGCGTATGTCGTTGATAACTTAGAGGCTATAACAGAGCAGTGAAATTCATGCGCCCCCAAAAAACATGACGTTGATTGTTGTGTTTCTCAGAAAATAATGCTCAGTATGATTGAAATGTTAAATTATAACTGAAGAAAAAAATCTAAACTTCATGTCAGTGAAAAAAATGGCCGTCATTGATGCCGAAAGGTCAATCCTCATTCCTGGTAAAGCTGACCTTCAAGTCTGGAAGAAATCGTTCGAAAACTTCCCAAAATCTATGTATTTATGGCAATTTCGAGGAATTTCACGAAGTTGCTATTTCACAAGTAGTTGAACACTTAACTCATTTAATTATTTTTTTCGAATTTCAGCTTATCTGAGATGTTGTTGCAAACGCCAATGTTACACCTTGAACTATCTCGAAGGAAAATTTCGATTTTGAAAGGATTTTCTGCCGACCTAACCCACGTGCATTGTTCAGCAAAGCGCCGTAGGCGCCACGGTTGACCAATTTCGGCCCGGCAGCACAACAACGACGGGTATATTAGCATATTCATTAGCGTCACTTGGCGTGGGTCTCGGAACTGACCAATGGAAGCCGGCAAAAGGGGTGATATTTATCAATTAATAATTCGTGAAGGAGGCTTTTCTCCAAATTTTTACTGCACGCCATAATAGTTAGGAACCTTATTAATATTCGTAAGTTTTGAAAAGATTGACACGTATTGCACGCACCGGTACAAAGGTCTTTTTTTCCAATTTCAATGCCAAGTTATGAACATATCACAATGATTTTTAGCACATACTTGGATCATTATAAGGGAAATAAACCCTGAAAGTTGCATGAAGATACGGTCTTCTTAACGGAAGAAATTAATTTTCAAAATTTAGTTTCATTCAAAATAAAGTGTTACGTAACCTTTAGAAATCGCCACGGCTGCGTGGAGACGTTTACAATCTTTTGTTCCCTATTGTGCACGTCTCCACAGAGTACCGTGAACCAGATCATTATAGTAATAATAATATTACATTGTTTCTCACTCGTCCGCAGAAAGCAACCACTGTGCAGCTGCACATCTATGTAGCACTGAACAGCTCGATTTTTCAAACAAAATTGGGACACTATAATCGTTCTCGCATGGATAACGCTAGTCTGAGTATCACCCGTTATCCACACGGAGGCTAATCTCCTGTATAACATCTGATATGCCCAGACATGCAGATATATATATGCAAGCCGCGCGCCAGCCAATCGGAGTCGACTTTACTAAATCGTGACGTCATTTCATTCCCGAATCAGGACCGAATGGTTTTGATTGGTCAATTCGAATGCAGTGTGTTGTAATACAACAGCCGGGCGCATTATCGCGTAACATGATACAGAGCGAGTTACACAGTTTTTTGTCCATGATGACGCGCAACGGTTCGCTCGTACCCCCCGCCCTGCAAACAGGACGCTGGGATACTCTGATGAGCTTCACAGAATCTTGTGAAGGAAATGGCCTATGACCTATGTACAAAGCATCTGGCTGCAGCTGTTCAAGACCGCAGTTAGACAATGTGCGCAAATGCTATCCGAAACTTCCCATAGAATGGCGCGCATTCCATACGGATGCGATTTCTGTTTCATTGCGGACCATGTGGACCAAATTTTGAGCGTCGCATAATGCAATCCGACCGTTCGTGATTCGGAACGGAGCCTGAGCGAGTGACGGGAATTGTAAATTTACAACACAGATAAGTTTTACAGAATTTCCTACATTATTACGCTTTTCAACGATATAAAACATCTCTAAACTGGAATAAAAGAGTAATCAATCAGTCTTAACGGCCTTTTCAACCCTTGCAGAGTCATGACCTTGATGACGTGTAGGTCACTGGTCACGCAAAATCCAACCAATCAGAGCGTGAATTCATCAGAGTATCCCAGCGTCCTGTTTGCAGGGCGGGGGGTACGAGCGAAGCGCAACGGGTGAATGACCGAAGACCCGATATAGAAAGCGTCCGCTGATTTGGCCAACATCTAGAGGTCAAGAGATGGGTTGTCTTGCCTCAGTAATCAGCGAATCTGCTCACATAATTATTCCATGTACATTGACTAGGATAACGTCAGAATAACACAAGAACGCCCGGTTTTTAAAGGATGGTGGTGTGAACGTTTATGTTCTACTTTAAAATGCTCTTTCCGTTTAATTTAAAACACGTTTTGTAGTCCGATGGGCAGTATTCCAGGCCGTAATGTCCTTTTAAAATAGTGTTTCACTGACAGTATACTGCTACAACATAAAAAGGCAGGGAGAGTGTACTGGGGAAAACACAACCGCGAGTAATAAACATTTAAAGTGCATTTTTTTTTATTTGCGACACCCGTTCGTTCGCATAATTGCAGGCTGAATCTTGTTAGGATAACAGCACTTTGCGAAAATATCATTCAGGAGCAATCATGGGCCTGCCAACCCGTCTGCCCGAGGGGAATTGACGTGGTATACACAATAATTCGCGTAGGTACGTGTTTGGTTTTAATTATCGCGGGCCAATAAAAGGGGAAATAAAACGAAAATTGACATTTCAATAATCAAGTTACCTAAGGCCCGTTGGCTTATGTAAGGCTTTCGAGTACGAATTGTATAATTTAAAATATACACCCTTTGTATAACAGTAAAGACATGAACGGCAACCTTTTTGCACTAAAAAATATATATTTTATAAATACATGTAATAAACTGTTGAATGGAATGGTGCCAGAGTATGTAATGACTGGCGTGTGTTAAAAGCCTCACTTTCATATGTTTAAGCATGATTTGAAATTATTCATCCGAGCAGACTGGTATTAATTTGTAATGAACTGTTATTTCATTGCCTTTATTTCTACTCACAAGTTCGAAAACTGAAGAGTTTACCTCGCTTTCAATTTAATATGGCCGACTCGTGAGTAAAGTCTTATACAATCGGGCGAGCGAATGAGTACGGTACTTATACATTTTTAATAGTACTTACATTAAAATTCATAAAATACCCGAGAGTTTAGCCATTCCTATTGGTCGAGAGCTTGTCACGTGGGTGAATTGAAACTGCTGATAGAACACCAGTAAGCTCATAAGAAATTTTGGCCAAAGGATGAAAACTTGTGTTACTGTATATAAACAAGCCTCAAAAACTGAAAGAGTTTGTCGAACAAATTTATTGACACTTCCAAAGTCCCAAATAGTCTAATATTTCCCTTGATACAACTAGGGTTTTAAATGTTGGGATGTTAGTCCCCACTGGGTGTGGCCTACGGTAAGAAGACAATCCTAAAACTGAAAATCATTGATAGAACTTAGTAGAAATTCGAAGTGAAAAGGTTTAACGAAAACTAACAACTTACTCAATTCTAGTGGGGAAGACCACAGTAAACACATCTTTACATTATCCTGACCGACAACTGGTGTCCAGTCCTTATCTACCAATTCTCAACTGAAGATACGAGATTATTAAAATGCTATTATAAAATGTCCTTCAATTCCCTTTCAATTTCGAGCCAAATTTCAGAAGGGGCATGACCTTCCTTTGTAACCAATTCAAAGCCTGTTCTGGAAACAGACTGCTAGTCCAAGCCACTTCTCATAAAGCCAGTGAGATGAGATAATTTAAAAAAACAATTGCCACCTTGAAAACTGGGAGGTAGACAAATTTGAAATTTGAAACATTGAAAACAGGGAGGTAGAGAAATCAAAATCTGAACCAGGAGAATTAAAGTAGACATGCTTAAAGGCACACAGCGTGTGTCAATAAAAAAAAATGTAGCAGTCAATCCATTAATATTACAAATACTAGCACTGTTTTTTGCAAAACTGATCTCTAGAGTCTGAAGGTGTAGTAAATACTCTACACAATGGTCTTTATCCCATCTCATTTGGACACCCCAGTCCAGAGATACAGCTAATTAAATGAAAAGACTTGAATTCCAAATTGGACCACTTTTTAGATTATCTGGTATCTAACAAAAGGCATTCACATACCAAGAAGGCATTGTTTGGTGCCCTCTGGTTCCAGTAATAAGGACTTACATGTACTATAAACCACTACACAGACAGGTATACACCTGAGCCTAGCATAAGATGCTCACAGGCCCTCTTGTGTCAGGAAATCATACAACACAGGCAAGGTTTCTCCGTTGCTAACTTGCTACTTGCTACTCCCACTGCCTCTCCCCTTAATAGCCCCACTGTCGACTACTGTACAGCTATATCCTTCCATACTTATATGTCCAAAAATGTACATAGCTATTATACACAATTTATGATACAATGAGAATCTTATGTACTGAGTTCTAGTATCTTCTCTCCAGCTGTTCTATTCGTTTGGCCTGCTCCTCGATTCGGATGTCCTTCAACTGAAGCAACTGCTCCAGCCTCCTTACTTTTGCTTGTAGTATCTGAAGAAAAGAAGACAAAGAGTAGACTGAAGTTGTAAACTTTTTTTTAATGATAGAACAGAATACATGCATTTATCCACGAGCTGCAATAATGAACAATAGATATCCAAGATCAAAAAGTAGATCGTGTTTCCATGGCCGCTTTATCTGTATCTGTATCACTATAGTCAGTAAAGCATCCCAGGGCAAACATCACACCAACTTATAGAGGGAAGACAATGAGAAGAAATTACAGTTTTAGAGGTGGGAGGAAAAGTCCAGAAGATATTCTGGGGAAAACCCACGGAATCAGGTACTGGTAGGGACTGAAAACCCAATCCACATATTGACCGAGGCGGGATTCGAACCCCGGTCACAGCGGTGGAAGGCGAGGAAAGTACCGCTACGCCAACCTGACTCCCACAATGAAAACATTTTTTTCTTAAAGCAGTTACCTTTGTCAGTTCAAACGTTAAATATTACAGAATATTTCTCTATGAATGGAAAGTAGGGCTTTCAGTTGCTTGGGTAAAATACATTTTAAAATAGCATTTATAAAAAAAATAAAACTGACGATATATGTAGAGTGTCTGCACAAACACGCACACAGACACGTATGTTTGTTTATGGTGTAAATCAAGGATTTTCTTTTGTTCCTCTTCCCTTTTTCCTTTGTTTGTACTTTAACTTTTTCGCAACAGCTCTCAATGGTTTTGTACACGTTTGCCAACCGAGGAGTCCTCGATTCGGTTTCTGTCCTCGATTCATCGATGATGTTGCATGCGTGTGTCCTCGATTTACGCCATAAACAAACTCACATAATCACTAAAAGTAGATTTTAGGACAAGAGTGTTATTTATCACCAGATTTACCAGAATTATATTTTCAAAAGTCTGTGGGAATGTGCAAGCGTTCTCTGATCATCAAAATATCTGTCAATGTCAGAGGTTAACTCCACAGTCTTTTGAAAACGACAAACAACGAGCGATCCACATTACAATAGGGCAGGAACATTTGTCTTTAAACATCCATTTTTCAAATTAACAGTTAAAACTGTAATTCTTCAGTTATGACCCATTCTTGAATGTTCACCTGTGATACCACACTGAACTGCACTGTACCACACATGCTTTACCTAACCTAAGCCACGAAAATAGAAACTGTCATTAATTCACACAATACAAAAAACCACAAAGCTATGAAGCACTCGTCACAAAGTGGAAAATGAATAACGTTTAAGAAAATCAAGCATCTACAAACTGTTATCTAGACTGTTATTCAAGATGCAGTTTGGGCAAAGCAGGAATTGTAAGCCAAAACCAACTTTTTGTTTTTTTTGCGTCACTGTAATTTCTTCTCGAGTCAAATGTATCATACCTGGACTGTTTCTTGCGATGCCAGGAGGTTCTGTTCCTTCTCCTCTAGTAAAAGCCTGAATTCTGTGCTGAACTCATTCGTGTGGTTGATAGATCTCACTCTTCCTACATGGCTACAAAAAAAAGAGATGAGGCATGCCATATGGCTTGTGAATTCTCTGTGCGATATGTGGAGAGTCCCTTAAACCAGTGATCATGAAGATTAGCGTTTTAATTGATTTTGAAGTCTAGTCGTCCTGTTCTCTCCAGTGTTGTAGTCGAGTTCATCACAAGTCCCCACAAGACCTCACAAGTCCTCGCAAGTCCCCACAAGTCCTCACAAGTCATCACAAGTCCCCACAAGTCCTCACAAGTCCTCACAAGTCATCACAAGTCATCACAAGTCATCACAAGTCATCACAAGTCACAAGACTCCCAACGAGTCCTCACAAATCCCCACAAGTCCTCACAAGTCCTCACAAGTCCCAACCAGTCCTCACAAGTCCCCACAAATCTCCACAAGTCCTCACAAGTCCTCCAGTCTCAAGTCAAGTCACAAGCTATTCCAACGAATTGTAACAAAGCCACTCCTTTGTTACTGTTCAATGTTCATCCCCTGTTACTTGTGACTGCAGACTTGTGAAAGGACTTGTGGTGGACTCGACTACAGCACTGCCTCCCTGTACAGATTCGTGAAATTTTAACAGAAGTGAAAAAAACAACAACATGAGGTCTAGTACGTACCCCACCCTCTTCCTTTTCCCCCCACATTTTGAACTGGCTGGACAGTCAGTCAGCCCCATCTTACATTTGCCCTACTCTCCCCCCTCCCCTCCTGACCAGGAAGGTCGGTAGGGATGGGGATTGGGGATGAAGGTCAGTTTGGGAACTTGGGAAGGAGCGTCTGGTACAAGAAGGAAAGAGCTTGAGGCCGTAAGGAAAATAGAAAAAGAAAACTGCAGTCTTACCTAGTTCCTTTTGTGCCTGCGTGTACAGTCGGCGCCTTGGGAGCTTGGGGCGGGTGTTTGGGCGCTTTGCTGCCTCCAGCTCGGCCTATAAAATACGAAGGAAAGACAAAATCTTTATTAAAAACCCTCCTATACTTCTAACTATTACAAACTATCAAGAAACCTCACCCCTACCTCTCTCGGTAGCTTTTGTACAGACTGGTCAACAACTACCACAAATCCCTCAGGATTACACCGAATAACTGCCAAAGCCCGTATAAGTTGTTTGACAGATTGGTTCACCATTAACACTGGTACAGGTTGTGTGGCTGCCATTTTAACCTGTCAATTGTACCAATATGAGGCAAGTTTACAGACCTGTTAAAGTTGGGTGACCTGATAGATGTTGATCCATTGGGCTACTCACTACACATCGTCACTGAGAGAGGGAGGGTTAACTCTTGGCTTAAATCCAGTATGCAGTCATATTATGAAAAGGAACACAAAATTATCCATCCACCCTTTTCCAAAAGTCTTTTGCCATGAATGAGAAAATTTTCAGACAGAGGGATCTTTGCGACAAACTGTCCCACAAATACAGAGTGTATGGAAAGATGGCAACAGTAATTTCTCGCTTGTCCCTCACCATGAGTCTTGTCCGCCTTGCCAGCACCAGAACCAACTTCTTTTCCACCATAGTAGCCATCGGGAGACAACTGTGACCAAAGAAAAAAGACCCAATATTTAAGCTTTTCATGATGTGCATAACATAAAGGCTTTATGAGGTCTGCCTACTCTTGTTTTGCTTCCGAGAAAGATTCTGCTAGGCTCGGTAACGTTAATTACTTTTTAACCCTAACCCCCTAGTAGTTCCTCAGGACTACCCTGCTAAATCCAACAGAGTCCAACCGGAGTTTCCTGCTCAATCCACTGTGCCTTATTTTCAGTTGTCTGCTGGATCCAACAGAGTCCAACTTGGCGTTATAATGCAGTTCAGTTGCCTGCTGAATCCAACATTTTGCATGAGGAATGTGCACAAGGGGTTTACTGCTCAATCCAACAGGCTCCATCGGGTATATGATATAGTTGGATCCTGTTGGATTCAGCAGGGTTAGGGTACCTTATCTGATTTGTTGGTCTGCCTGAGATAGAGATCAATCTTGTGTCTCAATTGCCACAGCACAGCCTCAACGACTCCTGGCTTGCTGTTACACACACTGCGTACCACCACCTCTTGCATATTGAAGCCGATTCTGGGAAAGACTTTTCTGCAACAGAAAATCAAAAAAACATTGAATAGAGAAGTTAGCGCTTGAATCGTTTCTCCTTAAAGGTTATAGTAGAACATTTGTCACTGGTGCTGGTTTTTTTGTGTGTTTAAACTTAAGTGAAAAAAAGTGCTCAAAATCTCAATAAGTGTGTTTAACAACTTACCTGATGATGCGATAGCTCTGTGAATGCAGCATATTTCGAGTACCGGTAAACACAATATTCTGGATCTGGATTTCAATTCAAAAGTTGCCAAGTCTGACCCAATCCCGAAATCAGCATTCAGGACGTGATTCTCCCTCAGCCGATTGTTGCTACATGATCATCACACACTGAACCGACGATTCTCGCTAATAACTGCATCCGCGCACGTGTTTCGTGTCAACGCACTTGCACCCATTTACGGATTCGCCCAATTACAAACCAAATGCCAACGGAAATTTCTAAAAAGCTGTTACTCGACACACAGTGTGGGGACTGCTTGTTTCATGTGCCAGTCCATTTTGTTGTGTTGCATGTCTTCAATATCTTAAGTGTTGGGACTCTCCTACACAGTATTGAGAGTCCCAAATTATCGGACCAAGGTCGTCCTCTAATACTTAATAATAAAAGAGATCATTGCAGACTAATTGATTCGCAATCAAACAGGTGAAGCCCTGTTTCCCTGTGTACCTGTTTAACGTTCCCCAGTTGCTCATCTTCTGCTGGGTGGAGTTCGCTGGCGAGTAGTTGTGAACGTCGACAATCTTTGGCACAAAATGATGTACAATCTCCGCAACCAAAACTGCAAGAAAGTAAAGGCAAATAAATATGCTCATAACTTTTTTTTTCAATTCAATTCAAAGTAACGTTTATTTCCACATAATCATAAAGAAAAGTACAATAAATATAAACAGATGTGGAGGCACGTTCCAAAAAAGCGGGGCTTGTCGAAGAACAGCCTGTTTACAAAAAACAAAACAAAGTAACAGCTTCACAATAAACGAATAAATATAACAACACCTATAACAAGAACACAAACAGTGTGTATACGTGTACGACGACTAAAATAAGAAAAGATATGATTCAATAAGAAAAAAACAATAAACCAAGATCAGAAAAGTAAAGTAACTGGGGCTTACTGAGGTGACTGGTGGATTAACAAAGACTTCAGTTTGTGTTTGAAAAGAGCGAGTGATTTACATTCAGAAAGTGGTAAGGGAAGACTATTCCAGTTTTTAGGGCCTGAGAACGTAATAAAATGTTGAGAGAGAGTGGTTTTAACCAGTGGAATGTGAACTTTAGAAGAAGACCGAGTATTATGACTGTGAACAGATCTGTTTAACTGAAAAAGATTATGCAGAGTTGGAGGAAGTACATAACTGTGAGTTGAAATTCATCCAAGGGGGCATAACTTTTAAAGGCACTCCTCGGGAACACTGACAGCTCAATTCTCATTTAGGCCTAGGGATGCTCTCGCCAAGGTATTTCCGCCTAAAACTCTTGTCAAGGTATTTCGCCTAAAACTTAGCTCCCAGAACAGTTTCAAAGCATGCAGGTTTTGAAAGATTTTTGGGAAAAAATGTTGCAACCTGACGCCACTTCCGCGATTGTGTACAAAGTCTATGGAGAGTTAAGAATTTTGTATTTCCTAACAAAATTGGAAATGTTTCATCATCATTTTTGCAATGAATGACCTTCATTGAGATGATATATGAAGAAAAAAGTGGCGTCATTTTGCAACATTTTTTCTGACTACTGTTTTGAATCCTGACTAAAAAACAGTCAACACAGACTGCAGACATGACAGATAAACTGAAGTTTTGTTTTACCATTCATCTGGTCTTCCAACATGTCCAATAAATTCCATTAAATGTGGACAGTGGCTGTGTCATTCTTTTTTAGGGCGCCAGGCCCAAGTGTTGTATTAAAAGAACTCACCACCGTCACTGAAATCGCGAGTCATGTTCCTTTTCGCACGGCTCAATGGAATCTCGTCGACCCATGCGTACAAATCCTGCAGCTTTTCGTCGTCCAAATCCGTCATATTACCGGCTTCATTTGTGTCTGTTGTTGAAGCTTTTGTGGGGACTATTTCACCCATTAAATACGATTTAATTTGCAAATTTCTGGATATCCTGAACGGTCACTGTAGCTGTTAATCTTCAGTCCGCTTTGAAAAATTGAACAGCCTGTTTTACGACAAGGAAAATGTTCAGTTGCAAAATTAAATCTCATGAAACTCTACAAAACACTTCTCTCGCGAGCGCACGGTCGTCGCCATGTTTGTTGTTACCCAAACACTGACGTCACATAACGATAGTACATTAGACTGGCCTCCAGTCGCTTCCTATTATTTTCTTCGGGAGAGTGTGGCACAGCAAATTCAATTCAATTCAATTCCACATTTATTTTCATGCTTCATGAAGAGCAAATTTACAGTATTTTTCGATAAGGATATCCAGCTTACATCTGCATAGCGAAAGAAAATATGAGTTGTAGAAGGGATTATCGAAAAGACTTAAATACTCAAGCCGTACGGTAGCTTGAAAGGGAGCTAGGGAGGGCATGCACTGGACCCAAAATCATTTGACACTAGAGGGCACTGTTCATAGCCGACTGGATCTTGTTTGGCTTGGCGCTTTTATCCGCAGTGCATAATGTTGTATGATTCAGGCCTGTTCTTCATTCCTTCTCCCCTTCTTTTTTTGTACGGCGGTGGGAATTTGCCGTTTGCCGTGACGATGCATACCGCCCCCAATTGGCCAGAGAGTGTCTGCAAGTGCACTGAGCGGGCTGTTTGCAGGGCTAGGGTGCGGGTTTCGCTCGTAGCTCCCCCCCCCCCCCCCCCCCCCCCACGCCCTGCAAACAAGGCGCTGGGATATGCAGATGAGCTTCACAGAATCTTGTGAAGGAAGTGGGGGTGGCATTCTGGGTAATTTATCATGACCTATGTATAAAGCATCTGGCTGCAGCTGCTTAAGACCGCAGTAAGCCAATGCGCGCAAATGCTATCCGAAAACCTTCTCATACACATTCCATACCGGATGTGATTTCTTTTTTATTGCGGACCATCTGGACAATTTTGAGCGTCTCATAATGCCATCATTGACCCTTCCTGAAATCGAAACGGAGCCTGAACAAGTGACGGGAATTGAAAATTTATATATCAGATAATGTTATGTCTGATCTTTGGTGTAGTAATTCAGTATACAAATATTGAGTGGCTCAGCGTGGAATGGGAGGAATATTATCGCAAGGTAACATCTTGACTTTTCTATTTCACGAGGCGAAGCCGAGTGAACTGGAAAAGTTTTACCGAGCGATAATATTCCTCCCATTTCACAATTTAAAGCCACTCAATATTTGTTTTATATAACTGACATATAGATCATTGTCATTTGATATATTTGAACTTTTTTTCAATGCAAAACTGGAGGAAAATGTATTTCTCTCTTCCAAACCACCCTTTCACGAAAATGTTTGAACCCAACGCTGTAGCGCTGGCTCTTTGGAACAATACGCGCTACGCGCAACGCTGAACGCGCACACCAGCATCCATTTGCACACAAATACCGCGCCGTGGAAATAGTACTTTGGTTGCTAATGGTATAGTACTTTGGTTGCTATGCGCATAGTACTTTTGGCCGTGCACAGAAAGATAGCAAAATTAGAATTAATATTTTAAATTATTTAAATCTGAACACAGGTGAAATATACTTCAATTTCAATACAAAATTGGTGGAAAATGTATTTCTCTCTTAAAAAACTACCCCATCACGAAATGTTTGAACCCAAGTCTGCGGCGCGCTCTCCTTGGAATAATACGCGCTACGCACAACGCGCAACGCGCACACCAGCATGCATTTGCACACAAATACCGTGCCGTGGAAATAGTACTTTGGTTGCTAATGGTATAGTACTTTGGTTGCTATGCGCATAGTACTTTTGGCCGTGTACAGAAAGATAGCAAAATTAGAAAGTAACATGTGACTCGCTCTCGGCCAATCAAGACACAGAATCTGTGGGTGAGGTGTTATAATATACAAATATTGAATGCTTCGAGTGGTGTAGTACAACTAGCCTCCCGAGGTGATCCATGGACCATTCTATTTTCCCGAGGCGAAGCCGAGGGGAAATAGAATGGTCCATGGATCACCGAGGGAGGCTAGTTTTACTTCACCACGAGATAAAGCATTCGATATTTGTTTTATAACACTTCACCCACAGATTCTGCTTGATTTTAATATTTTAAATTATTTAAATCTGAACACAGTTGAAATAAACTTCAATTTTAATACAAAATTGGTGGAAAATGTATTTCTCTCTTAAAAACTACCCCTTCACGAAATGTTTGAACCCAAGTCTGCGGCGCGCTCTCTTTGGAATAATACGCGCTACGTACAACGCGCAACGCGCACACCAGCATGCATTTGCACACAAATACTGCGCCGTGGAAATAGTACTTTGGTTGCTAATGGTATAGTACTTTGGTTGCTATGTGCATAGTACTTTTGGCCGTGCACCGAAAGATAGCAAACTTAGAAAGAAACATGTGACTCGCTCTCGGCCAATCAAGGCACAGAATCTGTGGGTGAGGTGTTATAATACTTTTTGAGCCGCGGCATGAATGGGAGCAATAACGAATGCCACGTGATGTGAGTTCCACCAATCAAATGACAAGGATCATGTCGGTTATATAATTTCTATGAACACATCGCCCCGAGTACTCACATACGCTTTGCTCGATGCACTATCAGCGTTTGTACGCCAACTCCTGAGGAATGCTGAGATGCTGATTTGAAGGAAAGAGCACTTAGGCCAAAAAAAAAGTATCCGGTTTCTGGTCTGCGTGCGTCACCGTAGCAATGCGCGTCGGCAAATTCTTTTTTTTTTTCAATGTAAGATGATGTCTCAAACCGCCAAACTCACTGGTTTGACTGGAATCCTGATGCTAACACGTTTTTAGATGCTAACGTGCTTTTAACGTGTTTTTAGATGGGGTTACGATCGGGTATAAGCTTTATGTGGCCTCTCTGGGCTCCCATATATTTTGCACTAAATTATTTTAGTCGGGCACCATTTGCACAGGGTGTTGCAATTTTGTAATCAGCCAGACTTAGGGAGCGATGGTCGTGTATCTGGAATAAACGCTTTTAATTAGTGCAATTATGTAAGGGAGCATACTTATGACCAGCCTGGCAGCTCATGCACGATGTCGATGTCGCTGTATGGTCTGACGTTACTGTTTTCCCTGATTTTTGTCTTGACTATCAAAATTCCCGAAGAATGTCCGTGTCGGTCGAGATCGTAGGTGGGTGCAGACTTCTCTCACCTCAAGCTCCACTCTGAAAGATATTTGTGAGAGTTTGAAGGGGATCAATGCGTCATCTGCAACATCAGCCGACATTTGAAGAAGAAAAAAGTAGTGCCAAAAAAAAAAAAACGCGCCGCCGCACCACTTTTCGGACAAGCTCGATACCAGAAACCGGAGACTTTTTTTGGCCTTAGCGAGAGAATCATTTGTCCTTCACCATGGACTTTTTACTCGCAAATATCAACGATACTTATAACTTGTCACGAACAGAAAATGGCAAGCGTGCAACAAAATTGTTATTTGCAACTCGGTGGTTTGACTGGTGAATAAAAATGATGGTTTTATTTTGCTTTTTCCAACTGCGATGTTATAATGTCACCGACAGTCATCACAGAGGGCGGCTAGATTGTGCCTTTTTTCCTTTAAATATCGTCATATTAAATACTGTCATTCCCATTCATCACCGTCATCCCCCAAGGCAACATAAAGGACTTATCTGTCATACAATTTGATATATGCGGGAAATATATTGGAAGGGATACGCTATTATGTTCTCCCCCTGTGACGCATTGATCCACCTTTTGAAGCTCCCATACATCCTACATAAATCGCACAAATAAAATTGATCAAATTATCCTAAAGAAGTTACATGTAAGTGGTTTCTATTTCTTTTTATTTTATTGCAAACGGTCCTACGCAGAGCGGATCTCTCCGGCTTAGCGAAATGCAATTGACATTGCCTTAAAAAGGACTTACATGCAGTAATTGGAGTTATGTGAGCCATCGGGGAAAGAATCACGCTTCCTCCCCCATTCTTATTTTTTAATGTTCCTGAAGGAATGGTTTGCATCTACTCTCACATGGGATGTAATGTCGTTAGTTGCCGCCACCAGCCTTAATTTAACTTCCAAAAGACTATTTCAAAGGCATATCATAAAGCACACTCATTGTGAAACTGATACGCAAAATAAATCCGACCATTATTACACTGGCGTGTAAGTGGTTTTTATTTCTTTTCGTTTTATTGCAAACGGTCCTACGCAGAGAGGGTCTCTCCGGCTTAGCGAAATGCAATTGACATTGCCTTAAAAAGGGCTTACATGCAGTAATTGGAGTTATGTGAGCCATCGGGGAAAGAATCACGCTTCCTCCCCCATTCTTATTTTTTGTAATGTTCCTGAAGGAATGGTTTGCATCTACTCTCATGGAATGTTATGTCGTCAGTTGCCGCGACCAGCCTAAATTTAACTTCCAAAAGACTATTTCAAGGCATTTCATAAAGCACACTCATTGTGAAACTGATACGCAAAATAAATCCGACCATTATTACACTGTCGTCCAAGAGCACATCTCCTTTCTGGAAATGTATATGTTTTCTGAGTGCAGGAAGTCATGTCTCTTGACATGACCGAAATTATTGTTACTGTCTCATCTTCATGGTTGCTAGAAGCTCTCTTTGTGATCATTTAGTGGTCGGGCAAAACCCGACCACTGTCTGGAATTGTTTCTCATAAATCTTCTTTGTTTGGGTCTTTCTTTCTTTCTTTTTCCGGACAATAATTCTCCGCGGGTTTTCTCCTAGACGTTTTATGGTATGAACTTGTAACTTTCAATACACATGGACCCTCATCCCGAGTGGCGCATATTACAAAATAATTTATTGTGATGGAAGGATTTAATTTCGTGATTCTTTGTTCTTACATAAACATTTTCATAACTTAACTTGGCAGTGTTTTATGAAAAAATTGCCTGCCCGACCACTCTGCGTTTGTAACAACAAACGCGAACCTCTAGTTACTTTTCTTTTTCTGTGTCTATATGCTTTGCCCGAAAATCCATTAAAATGCATTATGTTTGGCTTCAATATTTGTTCATATTCTGTTCCATATGGTTAATGTATACTCTGATCAAATAGCATTGTATGTTATCATATATTGCTTCATATTATTTGAGGCTTTATTAAAGGGCCCGTGCAATGTCATTTTGTTTAATGCTATCCCTTG